AAAAAAAAAAAAAAAAAGCCTGTCCATGAACCAAGTGGACCATATGTAGGTTTTTAACGTGGCAGTGCTTCCAGTGATAATTCTGCCCACGTCTCTGGGCACAGGGTCCTCACAGAGGATGCGTGCCAGAACTCACGCTGTGCCAATCGGCTGGCCAATAAAGTTGAGTTCAGTTGGGACGTACTCCAAACTAGCTTACATGTAAAGTTTACATGCTTTGAAAATCATACATAATAAGAATGGAAACAGAGATTGGGCACAATATATAAATTAAGAAATGTTAAGTAAAAGTTAAGCTTAGGTGGAAGGCTAGCAAAAAAATTTACATCCAATTTTCAGGAAATAGCAGGAAAAACCTAGAAAATAAATTTATAACTGGTTTCTGATATCATACAGATTCTTTTCAATTCAGTTATAGTAAAAGCTACTCTGAACATTACCAACATCCCTTGGCTTTTGTGGCCTCATCAATATAATGTCACTCACACTGAAAAAAAACGTTCTCGGTTGCATGAAGCTGTAATAGTGCACCGTTTCCACAATCCCATAAGTAGTGAGAAGGAACTCAAAAAGCTCATCATTCATAACATTCTAAAACAAACTTCTGCATAGAATGACTCTTACTTTCATTTGTTCTCTTCTCATGGCAGACCCCTAAGCAAGCTGGAATAAGAAAGAAGCAGGACATTGGACAGGAAAATAGAGCAGGAGAGAGCACACACACCTGAAAGAAACCAGAAGAAACACAAAGTTTGTAAAGCCAAGGTTATCGCAGAGGAAAGGCAGCAATGTGTTTCTCTAATTAGAGAGAGCTTGGGTATTTACCAGAAATATCAAATTCTCAAGAGTTGGTTCTAAAATATTTCATGTGATTTAAAAGTACATCTTCCAAACCAGCCTTTCCTGACAGATGTCTAGCTCGTAGAGTGGAAGAGTTTATGTGCAAATGTACACAGTAGTTGGCTGTGTGTCAGGGCACAGAGGGGAGGGGCAACAGAACCCAGGTGGAAGCCAACACCTGGGCAGCACTCAGCCAGCTGTAATTCCATAAGTACCTGTCTCATTTACGTGCGGTGCTTCCTCCACTTGACTGAAACTCCAGGACAGGGACACCAGGTGTTTTTTTTTTTTTTTTTTGAGACAGAGC